GACAAATGACCACTTGTATCATCTGCTGAATAGCAGATTACATGAGGCAAAACAAATTTTTTTTTTTTATTTATATATATATATATATATATATATATATATATATATATATATATATATACACACACACAATTGTAATGGACAAAGTGGTGTGTACAGCCTAAGATAATTGATGCTTCCATTCTTTATTCAAACATCTTATAAAAAGATTTTCCATGTTGTGCTTGGAAGATAAAAGTAACATCCCTGCTTTGCATTTCAATTGTCATGATACAAAGAAACCTCGCAAGTTGTGTGGACATCCTTTTCTGCCAACCTGTCTTATAAAATGTGTACAAATCTTTCCAAACCTATAATTGCCATGACTGTGCGAATCGCTATTTGGCAGGTGTTAGCTACATTATTAGATGTTATTTTGTAGCAGTTTGTGAAAATGGCCAGGAGTATAAAGCTCTCTCTTATAACAAAAGAAGTTATTGTCAAAATGGCCGAATCTAGTCCATCGTCTTCAGATATTGATCATGTGTTGGATTTGAACAATTACATGGTTCATGGAATTATTGCAAAGCATTGTTTGTTATGGTACCATGCAGAATATCCAGCATTGTGGCTAGTCAAGGAAAACTAGCAAGCGTTTTGAGCAAATGGAAGAAAATTATCTCGATCTGTAAGCATTTCAAAACAGCATCCTGAATAAGATGTAGAATAACAAGGAAAGAGATTTGATATCACACTGCAAAGTGACACATAAACCCTAAAAGAATGTGTAATGGTAAAAAAAAATGCTTATCAATTCTAAAATGTATGGTTGTTAGCAAAAGAGACAGGCCAAAATGTGAGGTACATATTGGGAATGTCAAAATGAAAGTTTTTTTTTTTTTTTTTTTTTTAATCATTTCACCCAAAGTAAGGTGATAATGCCACTAAGATGCAAGGGATTACTGGGAGTGAAAGAGAATGAGAAGACTTTAACGAGGAGAAAGGACAATAAAAGATAGCGATTGGCATTACATTTAAATTTTTGAAGATTGTAGGTGGCAGGGAAGCATGAAATCGAAGAGAGTTCCACAGGTAAGAAGTGCTAGAAAAGAAACTATTAGAATTGACGGTTGTATCTAGCTGGTTCAGTAGCAAAATTATTAATCTGGTAGTACGCTTAAATTCATGAGGTTGAGGTACCAAGGAAAGCATTTCAGAAGAATTTCAGATCAAGATGTCAGGATTAATAACATTGCAGACCCTTCTTTGGATTTTGTCAAGAATCTTGAGATATGTAGCAGGAGCACCAGAACAGGTGTGGCAGCAATTTAAACGGTAGATTTATAGACGTGCAAAATGGATTCTGTCAAGAAAGATTTTCTGGCATGACACAGTGAACCAACTTTTCTAACAGCAAATCTACCAATAGACCTAGTAATACTGAAATATAATGATTAAAAACTGCTAAGTCAGTTCTCTCACATCAGAAGAAAAATTGAGGACAAAATGAAAATGGCAACTAAAAACTGTACAACTTCAGACCAATGTTATATACAAACAAAAAAAAAAAATAGCATTAAAAGCTAATTACACTATTTACATTATTTGGCCTATTGTCCTCATCTTTGTCACCATATTTATTACAACGTTTCGACTGTTGTACAATCATGCCTTCGTCAGGTGGTTGGAATATTGAACTAAACTCTTTATTTCACTCACTGGGGTAGACTGTTCTAGTTCCACGTGCCATGTTTAATGGATGTCAATTATCAGTTATCTCCTATTAATTCATTAATCCAAGTTCTCCATTGCCTTAACCGGGTATTGAACTCACACTCTTTGGGTTCTGTCACTGGATCTAACCTTAAGGACACATGGCACAGTGGATAAAGGTGTTGGTTAGATTTCCATATATGGACATGATCATCCATATATGGAAAGGATATGATACGGAAAAGAAGGAAGAAAACAAATGTTAGTTTTGCCAAAGAACATAAAGATTGAATTGTGGAAGATTGGAACCATGTTTTAGGATTTAAGAAATCAAAATTTAATATGATGGTGTTGGTTTATGTTTACAAAATGCCAAGGAAGCATTTTTATCTCAAATGTGTGAATGGAGATGAATGAATGTCTGAAACCAGCTTTAAAATGATCTACAATGCCATTAGCACTTTGAAAATAGACCAATACCTGTGTTGGCTACAATCCTGTGTGAGAATAACTACAAAATTACCCCTGCCACGCCCTAAATTTATAAACACATCCTCCAGATGCATGTTGGAATTACTTTCTAACCAATAAAATGAACCTCTTCTCAATACCATCTGCCATATTCTTGTTCTTTCTTGTCGTGAAGTCAGAATGCAACAATCAATTGACTGTATCCCTTTTGAGTATAAACACTATTCTTACTTTGTGAACTTTTTGTTTTATTACTGTTTCTATTGTCTAGTTTTGTCTTGCATATATATATATTGTTTGCTTAGTTTTGTCTTGCATATATATATATTGTTTGCTTAGTTTTGTCTTGCATATATATATATTGTTTGCTTAGTTTTGTCTTGCATATATATTGTTTGCTTAGTTTTGTCTTGCATATATATATATATATTGTTTGCTTAGTTTTGTCTTGCATATATATATATATATTGTTTGCTTAGTTTTGTCTTGCATATATATATATATATATTGTTTGCTTAGTTTTGTCTTGCATATATATATATATATATTGTTTGCTTAGTTTTGTCTTGCATATATATATATATATATATTGTTTGTAGTTTTTGTCTTGCATATATATATATATATATTATTTGCTTAGTTTTGTCTTGCATATATATATATTGTTTGCTTAGTTTTGTCTTTGCATATATATATATATATATTGTTTTTTAGTTTTGTCTTGCATATATATATATATATATATTTGTTTAGTTTTGTCTTGCTTTTATATATATATATATATATATATATATATATATATACTATTTGCTTAGTTTTGTCTTGCATATATATATATATATATTTTGTTTTTTGTCTTGCATATATATATATAGTTTGCTTATTTTTGTCTTGCATATATATATTGTTTACCTTAGTTTTGTCTTGTATATATATATATATATATATATATATTGTTTTGCTTTGTTTTGTCTTGCATATATATTTTACTTAGTATTATTTTACCCTGTTTTCTTTCTTCCTTTTCTTATTGTTTATTGAAACTTTGTCAATTTCATTTGTTGGATATTTTTTGATTGCACTTAACCAAGACTGATAACTCTACAACTTAGGCGTCTCATTACTAACAATGGATGATCTAGTTGAAGATTGAACTAGTTGAAAATTAGTTTTTCAATGTAATAAAATTCCCTAGCACATCATGAGAGCAATAAAGGTATTTCTTGTTGGCCAGTATTTCAAAATCCTCAGCTTCAAGTAGCTTCATCAGTTTGCTGACCTGAATCTAATTGAAAAGCTTTAGGAAATTCTAAAACTATAATCAAGGTAAGTCATCATAGATGACCCTCACTGATGCTTAACTTTGGGAAGAATGGATGAAGAATTGGCTAAAAATTATATCCAATGTAGAGTCTGTAGAGTCAATGCCCTATACAAAAACTGTCTTTCTCAATGGAAGATTAAAAGGAAAATATTAATCACTGATTACATTTTAGTTAATGGATTCTTCGTTTTCTGTATGCTTATCCTTTTGTGTTTCTTTTTTTTTTCTATATTAGAATAAAATCTGGATGTGCAGGTTGTTTAATGGTTAGTGGCTTAGAACAAGACCATTGTAGGGATAAGTTCATATTCCGGTAAAGTTTGTTACATTTGCATAAATACCCTTGAGAAAAGTATTAATCCCTCTTTTCTCCATCCCATTCATGGGTTAAATAGCAGGGCAGATTGGGTTTCTAGCCTTGGTTGGCAGTTCTTCTCTTAGAGTAACTGCTAATCAAGGCCAATTTACTTTGGTATTTAACCTATAGTTATGAGAAGAAAAGATTGATTCATGCCTTTCCCAAAGGCATTAGTGTGAAAGTGGGTCAATGGAAAAACTGTCATTTTGACACTTTTTTTTTTTTTTTGTTTTTGTGGTCCAAGTTTGCTGACATTTTTTTAGTAAAATTATACTTGATTGAAAATTACTTAGGAACCAGAGACTCAATTAAACATGAAATTAATTTAGCCTTTAAATTAGTGAAATAACTGTTAAAATGTTCTTTGAAAAAAATATTCTACTGTTTTTGTTAACAAATTTCAAACAGATATTGGATTCTTATAATAAAGATATAAAGTTAAATTTTATAACTTATTGTCCATATCTTACAATTTTGAGAGGACTTGTTTCAAATTCTTCCTAAAATTGTGATCTCTGATGAGACAAAATTGTAGTCTAGCAGATTTGCAGTGTGCTTGAAATCTTGCCCCAATTATAGAAAGGTATTGAAGAAATATCAATAGCAAGAAAATTGGTGGTTTAGGTGTATCAAAAAATGCTAGAAAAAAACTGTTGGTAGGTTAGAAAAGTTTCTTTCATGATAACACTTATTGCATCTGTCTATATTTCTGAGATGAGGTATTATGTACACTATTTACATTATTTGGGCTATTGTCCTCATCTTTGTCGCCATATTTATTACAAAGTTTCGGCTCTTCAGTATCTGTCTATATTTCTGAGATGAGGTATTATGTACACTATTTACATTATTAGGGCTATTGTCCTCATATTTATCGCAACATTTTGTCTGTTGTACGCTCTGGCCTTCTTCAGGTGGTTAGAATGTTGAATTGAACCCTTTATTTCACTCCCTGGGGTAAACTATTCTTGTTCCATGTGCCATGAATAGTCTACCCCAAGGGAACTAATCAAAGGTTCAATTTATTCAACCACCTGAAAAAACCAATCTTAACTTGACTAAACGTTTGATAAATGTAACAACAAAGATAGGGACAATAGTCTGAATATGTAAATAGTGTACTATTATTTTATTATTTCTTGTTTTATTTTGCAGGCACTTCTTATCCTGTGCAGTCCGCAAAGAAAGTTAGTTCGACCTGTGTTCAACTGGACATTCTTCATTTTCTGCCTAGTAGCATGTGTATTGGCAAGTAAGTCTTTCTTTTCATTTTTGTTTTAATATATATTTAATACATGTTATTAAGGCAAGAGGCAAAATATTTTAAATTTGCATCTTTTAGTGTCTAAAGATGTTTTAAATAATCAGAAGATTTAGAAAGCCTACCAAATGTTGTGGAATGAAGAAAGCTGTCATCTTGTGCAAAAATATCTTATTTCAGAGCAGTAATGGATGATGGCTGGTTGAGGGAATCAGAGCCAAGTTAAATTCAATCGAATCCATTACATTCACTTACATACTAATACCCTTAGGAAAGGTATGAATCCTGTTCTTCTCCCCCTGCCCCAGCTATGGGTAAATGGCAGGACAGACCAGGTTCTATAGCTTTGGATGGCAACTGGTCTACTGCAGAAAGAAATGGCAACCTACTGCGGAGAAAAGAAATCTGCCTCATCAGTCATGTATTGAAAGATACATGATCGCCTAAGTGTGTATCATGCATAGCACATAACTGAATGTAAAGAACACTGTTTTGTTGAATAAAGAACTTAATTGTGGAACTAGACAACATCTATATCACAGCAGCTTGACACAATATATAGCAAGAAGGACGTATCGGTCACTTTCTCTGCTTGTCTTATTTCTTGTCATTTATTGTGACCTTGAGCAAGCTTATTATTGTACTAGCTACTCATTAGTTACCACCAAATTACGTTATCTGTTTTGGTATTATTTTGAACTATTTTTTTTTTTTTTTTTTTTTTTAGCAGAAGCATTGTCAGCCATCATTAATTTTTGATGAGTATTTCTTTCTTCTTAATTTTTTTTAACATAATTTTTATTGTAACTTTTACTCTATCAATTTATGACCAGTGATAGAATAACATTTTTAGGGTCTTGAAGCTTGAGCAGATATGGAACTCTGTTGCAACCAGCAACAATAAATTTGAGGGTCCAACTGCTATGAATTGATTCTGGTGAGTTTAACAAGACCATACTTTAAGAGGTTCAGGAGCTGCAAGCTCACATAAAAATTTTGAAATATGACCAATTATGGGAATTTTGAGGTCATATGAAATGGGATATTAGAAAATATTCTAAGGCCAGCATTAGCTCCTTCAACGGATTAATTTATGATTCTGTTACTAAAATGACTTTATTTTAATAACATTTGGGGATCCTTTTAGGATTAGGGTCTCTGCAGATTCTTGCACTTGTGTTGGATATAATTTTTAGCCAATTCTTCATCCATTCTTCCCAAAGTTAAGCATCAGTGAGGGTCATCTATGATGATTTACCTTGATTATAGTTTTAGAATTTCCTAAAGCTTTTCAATTAGATTCAGGTCAGCAAACTGATGAAGCTACTTGAGGATTTTGAAATACAAGAACAAATACAAAAACAAGAAATACCTTTATTTTGAAATACAAAAACAAGAAATACCTTTATTGCTCTCATGATGTGCTAGGGAATTTTATTACATTGAAAAACTAATTTTCAACTAGTTCAATCTTCAACTAGATCATCCATTGTTAGTAATGAGATGCCTAAGTTGTAGAGTTATCAGTCTTGGTTAAGTGCAATTGTCAAAAATATCCAACAAATGAAATTGACAAAGTTTCCAATAAACAATAAGAAAAGGAAGAAAGAAAACAGGGTAAAATAATACTAAGCAAACGACATGTCTGCAAGATGAAACTAAGCAACAGCTATAAGGCAAAATGTTCACAAAGTAAGAATGGTGTGTATACTCAAAAGGGATACAGTCAATTGATTGTTGCATTCTGACTTCAAGACAAGAAAGAACAAGAATATGGCAGATGGTATTGAGAAGAAGTTCATTTTATTGGTTAGAAAGTAATTCCAACATGCATCTGTAGGATTTGTTTATAAATTTAGGGCGTGGCAGGGGTAATTTTCTAGTTATTCTCACACAGGATTGTAGCCAACATAAGTATTTGGTCTATTTTCATGGCATTGTAGATCATTTTAAAGCTGGAACAAAGAGAACAAATTAAAATAATATTAAACAAAAATATATATATATATATATATGCATGACAATACTTGACAAATAGTTTCATTGTAGATCTACCACTGTTTATGACTGAGTAATGTAAATAAAGAATAAGCTCTCAGTGAGATTCAACATCACATATCATTTGTGTCTGAGAAACCTTGTTAAATGCATCAGTAGTTTTAACTGCGATGTTATAGCAACTCAATGACTTTGCAGGAAACAAAAATTAATGATGGTTGACAATGTATAATTTAATAATAAGCAAATAAAAATAACATGACATTTTCTGATATTATTAAGGTAAAAAAAAAGCAAAAAAGAATTAAAAAAAAAATAAAGTGCTGAGTGAGATCTTGGGATCTTAGCAATTAAAGCAGCTATTTTATTCTACCAAACTTCCCTGAAGCAAAAGAGACATGCATTCAAATCTTGCTAAGAGTTTATTGTATTGATATTTGGTCAGCAAATGTTGAACTCTTTAATTATTCTATGTATTGGTCATTAACAATATTTGATTCTAATCTTTTCTTCTTTTTTGATTGTTTTGTACAGTGCCAACTTTATTGATTGGTTTGGATTATGGGAAGATGCATATTCCTGGTTGGGTCACCTGGATTATTATGATTCTTCTTCTGTTGCATCTGATAATCAACATTGTTCTTGAAATTCATGATTTCTGCTACCATGACAAGAATCAAGGTAAGTTTCAAAACCATAATCTTTAATCTTCTGTTGTCCCCTTTCTTTTTGTCGTCTTTTTTCATTTATTCTCCTTTATGAATAGATGAAAAAAGAAAAATGATAATAGAGAGAAGACATTGATTCTTCCTTTTCTTTTTTTTTTTCTATATCTATTCCCACTTTTTCTTTCCTTTCAATCTATTCCTTTCCTTTTCTCTTTTTCTTTGTATTCAGCTTTCCTTCCTTCCTTCCTTCATTGTATTGTTCTTTTCTCTTTCCAATTGGTTTTCAGATTCTCTCTTTTATAGTTTGGTAACAAAATATTTCTTTTTATCTTTTGTAAATTCTTTCTCTTTTTCTCTTCTTTTATCTTTGCTCTTTCTTTCTCTTCTCTTTTTTTCTTGCTCATTTTCTACCCACTTTCCTCTTTGTTAATTCCAACCCCTTCCCCAACCCCTTCCCCAACCCCTCCCCCACTTGTTCGTTCTTTGTCTTATACCAGGTGAATCTATCAATTAATGTTGAGAATGCTGGATAATTTTGTCACAAATAATGAAAAGACTTGAAGTTTTTCTATTGATAAATGTTGTGAATATCATGGACAGCAGATGACAGATTTCTATATCTATGTCTTCATTTGTCTCTTGTAAAAATCCTTTATAATTGCCTTATTTTCTTAAAAAAATTGACTCTAAGCTGTACATAGAAAAGGTTCCATTTGTTGGAATTGAATCTATTTTATTCTAACTACAGTTTTTTTTTTTTTTGGATTCAGTGTCACTTGATTGAATTAGTCTTTTGAAACAGGAAGGGAACCCTGAAAACATAGGAATTCTTTGTTGTAATCAAAGAACCAAAATGTGAATTAAAGCGTCCCGGGCGTAGTGACAGAAAGAAACAGGTATAGAAATTCAAGTACCCGGGTAGCAAAAGTGTAACATGGGACTACAAGGTGCTTAGGAATACTGAAGATGCTTTTCAGAAACTAAACAAAGATGAGGGATTGAAAAATTAGAAAGAAATTATTGGACTATTGTGTAATATCTAACCCCCTATATGGCAGAAAAATATTACAAATGAAGAAAAATTTAAAATGATAGATGTGGTTCTAATGATGAATACTGATAAGGTTACAGACAGAGCATGTTAGAATTGATGAAGTTTTAAGACAAACATAATGAGGAAAGAAGGCTTGAAGAATTGATCACTCACAGGACATTTTGGCAAGAGAAGAAGCAGAATGAATGGATGAACAAGTACCACACAGACAAGGGTTATAAAGGAGCAACTGAAAAAATGAAAGCTGTGGAGACCCAGTATCTCAATATCCTGAAAAGGTGCATGGAAACTTTGGGCTGCACTGTCTCTTCCTCTGTTCTCCACACGTGTGTCTAATGCTATTTATTTTCTTTCATTTCTAATTCCAGAGAGGCAAGAGAAATATGAATACGAAAAAGCTAACAACCCCAAAGATAGAATTCCGGAACCTCATCCAGTGGTAAGTAGATATTGTTCAGCATTTCTTTGTACGTTAAGTCTGTAGACACCCAATGGAGTATAGGACCCCGACCCCACCCCTCAACAACACTAGTCATAGGTGTTGTGCTTTCTGTAGGGTGCTATATGAAGGAGTCACTAGCCCCATGCCCAACTATTTTTGAATTCAGTTTTCCTTCTCCTAGACTGGTTGCCAACTCAATCTAGAGAGGCTGGTCTGCCCCACTGTTTAACCCATAGCTGGGAAGAAAAGAGATTTATACATTTCCAAGGCTATTTGTGCAAAAGTAAATGCAGTGACTTTGGCTGGAATTTGAACTTTTCATGCCAATTCCATTTTCCACACTGATAACCACCATTCAAGGTCATATCTTTGAGAAATGTTTAATTCTAGAAAGTGAGTCCATTTTGCATAAAGTGACAAAAAGAAAAAACTTGTTCACACACAACACTTGTGTAAATCACTTTTCATATAATTTCCACTATTTTCTGTCAATGTTATCAGTGTCGTATCACATGTCTGTGTACTGTTTAAAATTTAGTGTATTCATGGGGAAGAGGCCTCGATATTGGGGATTGAGCATTTGTAGATAAAAAGCACTGCACAGTGGCTCTCAATTTTTGAGCCTTAGGCTTAATTTATAAAAACTTATGGTTGGTGTATATATATATATATATATATATATATATATAAAGTAGGCATGGTGGAGTAATGGATAATGGCTTGGATTGAGGA